AAAAGCCAACGAGACTAAAATTGTTTGATTCTGAGCTTTTAAGGCTATCAAATCGTCAATAAATTTTTTATAATCAAGAGAATCAAAATGAACCATTTGATCGAGTGGATAGGAGCGGTTACTTGCTAAATGTCATTTCCCTTGAGCCTATAAATAGACCCCCTCTCTTCATTTTTGAGGGAAGAGGAGGAGAGGAAATGGAGTCAAATCCAAGAGTCAGCCCGGAATTGAATAACTGACCATAACTTCCATCGTTCGTGGCCACCAACAACCGTCATCGATAACCACCTATCGGCCATCATAGACTGCCATTGACTTTCCCCTGCTTGCTGCTATTGGAGGACTTTGCAAAATAATGAAGTATACTGCGAATAAAGTATCCCATGAAGTAATGAGGGCTCCTGCGTATGGAGTAAAGCAACATCCCAAACACGGTGTAATAATGCACCCAAAATATAACATAATGATTCGCCCCGAATATGGTGCTGCGAATAAAGTATCCCATGAAGTAATGGGGGCTCCTGCGTATGGAGTAAAGCAACATCCCAAATACGGTGTAATAATGCACACAAAATATAACATAATGATTCGCCCCGAATATGGTGTAAGAAAACATCCCAAATACAGTGTAACAAAGTACCCTAATATGAAATAACATGTAACACTACATCAAAGATCCAACAATAACTCCCTTCAATAACTAATTACAATTATCGTATTTAGAATATGATGACTTTGTCCAAACTCTTGAAGTTTTCTCTTTTTAGCTCCCCACTATGGCTTACGACTTATGCGTTTTACTGTTATAACTTTGGTGACCAACTGAAACTATTACAGTTTCTCATTACAATCTATGTGACCAACTACGACTTAAGTAGCTCATTACCGGAACTTCCAATTATGGCTTTTGTGGGTCACTAACACTCTTAAAGCTATAAATGATGACTTATATGGCTAATTGCTATTACGACTCTCCATTGTAGCCTCTATGTCAAACTGAGGCTATCACAACCTCTGTCTACAATCAATTACGACCTTGCAAATTTCTTTCAAATTTCATAAACTTATTGTTTAGTGCAATTAACAAGCATATTCTAGCTTGTGTAATTTTAGAAATTGAATCTGCTACCCCTTGAGATGCTTATTAGCTTATGCATTATATGCATCGAAGCTGTCAGCACAAATATCAAAGTAATCAAACGACAAAGTATGACTGCTGAAATGTCAGGCTGAAGGAGCATAACCAATCTGACGACCGACCGCTCGATCAAGTTGACCAACATGCAATGTCAGCGGATCCAATCGACGGACCACACTTGTGATCCCAACCACCTAAGCTTCTTGCAAGGGCGTTCGGTTACAACTAGTTGACCGACTGACTTTACCTCGACAGGATTGATCGCCACGAGACCGGTCGCCCGAGCCGACCGAACTCAAATACGTCGACCAATTGATAACTGTTGTATTACACTCCAATTATAACGTAAACCTATTATTAACTAAGCGCATTAATGGCATTCATGGTGGTTTTCATAATCTTTCCCACCTTTTTGTAATTGTATAACTAGGTCCTTAGTGAAAAAATAAATAAATGGATTTTTTTCCCTCGACATCTCTATCTACAATTCTCTAACCTCTTTGCTTCCACTCTTTCTCTCCTAATTGCCTTGGCTCCAACTCTTGAGGTGTGTATTTCCAAAAGATAATTTAGGATTCATCATGCATAATGAAACTTATCAATTTCATATAGAAAAAATTCACATTCCCATATCACCCAAAGAAACCTAGTATGAAGCAAAAATGAGGAGAATATTATAAATTACACCACACTAAAATCTCAAGGACGCTTTCACTCTATTATGTACACAAGTTATACAAATTCCCTATTAAAAAAACCACATAACATATAATTAAAAGTCATAAATGATGCTCTTTGAGCCAACTTTTATCATCCTTTATGTTCGGTTGGAAAAAAAAGAACCGTCAAAACCTGCACGAAATTGCTTCTTGTCATGTTGTAGTGCTAGGACACGGCAATGTAGATCTTGATCTGGGCAATACTATGGCAATGTTGTGACACTCTGATATGACCCTACGATGCTATGCTCTTAGGTTTCAACATAAATTTTCCTCTAGTAGCACTATAGCGCAATACTTAGTGCTGAGGCGTTGTGTGGACAACACCTCAACACTCTTACAATAGCGTTTACGACGTTCATGCTGCAGCGCTTCGAGTACAACGCCTAGGTGTTATGTAGGGAAATTTTTTATTTATTATTATTATTATTATTTATTTTTACCGGCTGCCAATATTGGGGGCACTGTCATCCTCTACCCCCATCCACCCCCATAAACTCACCACCAAGTTTAATGAGTGAAATTAAAGACTCTGACTTAATAATTGATCGGCACAATTAGACTCATTTATTTTTATATAATGCGATTTCAATCAGGCAAGGCATTGAGGTTTTGTCTCTCTTATTATCCAAATAAGAAGTCATGTTCTCTAGAAACTGCGTGCTGGCAGCCCTTGATTCATAAAGCAAATGCAATCAAATTTCTTTGCACAAATTGTATATCAATTTATATGTCCAATCGAATTCAATCAATTTAGATATTAGGTTTTTTTTTTTCTTTTTGTCATGCTAATAACCAGCTCTAGTTGGTCATCCTAATGAAGAGTCCCTTCAGAATCAAACAATCGGATATCCCAACCAAATTCACTCTAACCGAATATCCTATTAATAAGCCACCATTGCCATTTCTAGTTGAATTACTTCTAAGCATGCACAACTTACGAAATTAGTTAGAATATGGACATATAAAATTACATTTTAATAAATAAAAAATCATGACGTGTTGCCATAGCATGCGTATAGCCCGACATGCATGTAATTTAATATTAATTATTATTCATATGATTTACGCATTAGATGCATTATTAATGTTGTTAAACTAAATGCAAATTTGAAAGATTCGGGCTTGGGAATACTGTTGTGGTTGAGATCAATTATTATAGCTCTCTGATCATCTATAAAGCATTTCATATTCGAAAGCAAATATAACTTTATGTGGGTTATAGTACCTTTAACTCAAGTATAAAAAAAATATTTTATTTAGAATATAACTTTTTTTAATGCACCGTGCCTATTGTGTGTGATAAAAATGCACCGCTTGGAAAATGAAAAAAATTATAATTATAATATGGTGGTGAGACATGCAATGCTTTATAGAGCAGAATGTTGGCTTGTAAAATATAAACATAAAATTAAGTTTAGGATTGCAGAGATGAGAATGTTCACTTCGATGACTGGTTTTAAAATGAGACATGAATATATTTATGAGAGGGTTTGAGTAGCTCAAGTTGTAGACAAGATTACAAAGAGAGAGAGAGAGAGAGGAGAAAGAGAGTTGTCTTAGATGATTTTGGTTATTTTAATTGTCAATCATCTAATGACCTAGTTAGCAAACTAGATGTTTTAAATTTAACTTATGCTAACAAATGTAGAGTTTAGTCTAAAAAAGACATGAGCATGTTATATAAAAATGATCTCAACTTATTAGAATTAAATGAAAATATTAAAGACAATAGGACATAATAAAGAAAAAGATCTTTATAACCGACCCCATTTGGTGGGGGGGAAAAAAAGGCTTGTTGTTATTGAAAACAACAATTTCTATTATCAGATTAAAGCTTTTTTACTTTGGCATAAAGTGCGTTGATTAGTCTGACTTTTTAGTGTTAGATAAACATATAAGGTTTCATTATGGTCCCACATTTAATTAGTGTATTTATGAAAATAAAATTTACCTCATTATAATAGCGAATTTTTGCTTAGGCAGGATGGTATTGCCTCAAATTAATGATTGCTTAATTGATTTAACTCACCCAACTTTTTAAGTTTTAGGTGCGCTTCTCTTTTTTCTTAAGCATTTGTGGCTGGGACTTTTTGGGAACCATTTTTTTTTAAATTTTGTTTAGGTGGGGAGTATTTTTATACTAATACTATTTTATTAAGAAAATAGAACTAAAAAACTCACCTTTCTGTTATTCAATATAAAACATTCCTCATTGGAAATTTGTCCTTCCATGATGAGTTTCTTTTCACATAACAAAAGAGAATCTTGTACATTCTAATATAATCAGTTAGTTAATGTAAGGTCTTAAAAATGAATTAGAAATATTATTATTATTATTTATTTTAAGCCTAAAGTTATGGGGAGAACAAGTTATATATTGAATATAATCCCTAATTATTTTTATTTAATTATTTATTTGCAGAAAAAAGAAAACGAAAAAGATTGGTGGTTTAAAGGCTGTTCGGTTTTTTGCGTTACAGTCGATGGCTTGAGAGAGAAGAAGAATGAGTCATTTACCTAACTGTTAACTAACAGTGTGACTTCTGTTCAAAAATATGATTAATTATAATTATTAAATGTAATATATATATATGTGATTTATATTTAGAAGTCATGCCTCCAAGTTATAACTATTTAATAATATTTTGATCTTGACACTAAGAGAATATAACTTCCACATTTATGCCAAGGCAAAACAAAATTAATGCTTTTTCAGTTTCTGATTTTCTCATTCTTATGTTTGTAAAAAATAATACAAACCACACGAAAACCATATTGAGTAAATACTCAATGTGCAAGTGTATCTTTTGTCCCTCTTCATGAAAATAATATTTAGATTATGTAGCAGCAGCAGCAACAACAACAACATAAATATATAGATTTCACATTTGACAATTTAAAATTTGTATAAAAGCGAGCAAAGAATTCATATAATTGTTTTCTTTTCATTTAAGGAAGTTCAACTAATATTAAGCCATTACATGAAAGAAAATAAAATGAATACATAAAAATGTCATTTTCACTTATTTATTTACATATATTACCTTGAGCCAACTCTCTCAACTGCCAAATATTCAAACCATAAACCGGTAATCAGATGTTCCATGGAACACTCAAAGCAGCTAGATTCTAATCGTCCATCAAATATTTTTTAAAAAATAAAACCATATATAAAAAAAAACGAAGTACAATAACAATAAATGTTTGAGGAATAGTAAATAGTACAGCCTACTCATTCACAGAACTGTCTGTATCTTCTCTATCATTGTCTCATTATTTTGTACAAAATCATGTCTTTTGTATCGCGGCTAATTAAATTTATTAAATTGAATTTTCCTATTCACAGATTTCTCCTTCATCTTCCTTCTCCAATGCTTCTACTCCCAACAGCGTTCACCATGATATTTGACTGCAACAAAGTCGCAGACCTCAAATCAACATCCATTCTAAAATAATTAAAATTCAATAAAATGTTCATATGAAACTATAATTAAGTAACTTACTCAAGTATTTCTTTCCAGCCAAGATCAGCCCCATTAAGATCATTCAAGTTTAGAGCATCCCATGGATCAATTGCTGCTGAAACTTCATTTGAAAGGATATGCTCTTGCTTTAGACTAACTGAAGTTGTGTTTTCAGGTGAAGCTGAAACAAGTGAAGGGGTGCTGAACTCTAAATCATGTTTTTCAATATACTTTATCTCAGGATGATCCTGAAGAGGATCATGAATTTGGTAATCATGATTCATTTGAGCTGTGGATGCAGCTAGAATCGAACCATGAGGAAGACCAAAGGAGCCATTAAGTAAGGCCTCAATATTCTGAAGGGGTGTGAGTGATGAACCCATGAGATTGTTCATATTCAAATTTGGAGAAACGTTTGAATTATTGGGAGAAGAAGAAGAAGAAGAAGAAGCAATAAGGACTTGAAGGAGACCCTGCAAGATCTGAACTTGTGCAAGGTTTGCTGCTTCGGCTTGAAGCTGGAGGGCACTGTCCCATGGATTTGGGATTCTGCAGCCGGGATTGGTGGAGGAAAGAAGATTGGGTAAGTTGGCGAGGAACCCTAAGTCAGCTCTTCTACGATGTGTTACTGGGTCAATGCCCATTAAAAGTAGTTTCTTCTTGAGGTGGGTGTTCCAGTGATTCTTAATCTCATTATCTGTCCTCCCTGGTAGCTTGGTAGATATCAAAGACCACCTACCAGAAGAAAAAAAAAATAGAGTTTTTACAGTTAGTTTTATGAGACCGCATTCAAGAAATAATGTTATTCTAACTTCCAGCCTAACTCCGCGTAAGTCAAACGTTTCATCACAATGAAAGCAAAAACAACCTTGAAACAGAGTTAAAACTTATTATTTGCTAGATAAATCTTCGTACAAATGAAAAACAGGAACATATGAGCAATAATCTTACTTGTTGCCGAGCATAGAGTGGAGTTGGATGATGAGCCCTTCTTCCTCCTCTGAGAACTTTCCCCTCTTGATATCAGGGCGGAGATAATTAGTCCAACGGAGTCTGCAACTTTTTCCACAGCGGTTGAGACCAGCATTTCGAGGAAGATGTCGCCAACTTCCATGTCCATGCTTCTTTATATATTCAATAAGCTTCTCATCTTCTTCTGGCGTCCATGGCCCCTTCTTCACCCCTACTTCATCACAGCATGGAGATCTCCCCATTAATTTAGAGCTCTCTTGATCTCTCTCTGTTTTTCAAACTTGTTTGAGTTGAGAATGGAAGAGAAGAGATCGTTAACTCGATTAGTAGGAGGAAGAGAGATTATGCTGTTTTTATAGAGGTCTAAAGTTGTTTCCGGGACACTTATTAAAATATTAATTAGTTTCATTAAAGACTAATTACCAGCCGTTTTTAAAAAAAGTCGCATTTTTTTTTTCTTTAAGTCATTAAGACCAACTTGTATGGCCACGTACTGTACTCACTGCATGCAAAATATACTATATTTTTGGTGACTTCGTTAAGGTTATGACATTGGATTGAAAGATTACATTATGATAATTATATGTTTAGGTAATGTTAATTAGCAGGTAATGTTCTCCTTGAACAGTAAGATAAAGCCTTTGAAGCTGAGACTTGGTTTGAAGGGATGGCACGTAATTAACCAGGGAGAAAAAATAATTGTGGATTAGGTTACTTGCTAATGTAATAGGTGGAAGGTTGTCATAGGTCAAAAGTGTTGTTTTGAGCAGCAAGCAAGTTCCTAATTTCATGTGTGACATAGGTTTTGGGTCATGGTATTAGCAATTAGGGCACGCAATAGATTTTTTGTGGGCGCCACAGTAGTTCTAAACAAGGCAATTTGGATAAGTTAATGATTAAGATGAGATTAATTAACAAATCTTTTTTCTGGTCTCTTTTTTGTGTGCAAGTTGTATTACCTCAATATATGCTTAGTAGTAGCAACATGATATACAATAGAATTTTGAATGAATGGAGTCCAATTATACATCCTAAGTTTGGAATCAAGTTGAGGTGGCTATGTATGAGGTAATGTTTTGTGTTAATAGGATGCATTATTTGATAAATATTTGATTTATAAGTATATCTCATATGACCCTTTAGGAATCAAGCTCATTCAATTAATTAAATTAATTTTGAACTTTATCTTAGGGGTTCAATTTTGTTTTTAAAACTCATTCAAATTTCTATTCTAAATCTTGGGTTCTAAACTAGTGTGCCTTGAACTTAATTAAGGAGAGTACTCGAACTTTCTTCTCTCAAATTAAGGTCATGCGAAACAAATGTCATTTATAGTGATCATATATGATTTCGATGTACAAATGTCCATGTGTACCATCAAACATGAGAACAATCAACACATTATAATGTGCATTCAATTGAATATATTATATTTAATTATTGTTGTAGATCTATTGGCGCATTTATGACAAAAGGTGATCAAACCTGACAATAATCAACAAATTTTAGAGGACTGAACGTTTTAGATAGCATTGAAGTCTAAACGTTAGCTTCTAACAACTGTATCGCAAGGGTTCGACGATAAAGGCAATGGTATTGAATGAAACAAAGAGAGGGTGGAGGGACATGTGAGGGTTTCAGGGAGAGGAGAGAGGTTTAAGGAGAGAGGATTACGATAGAAAGAGGATGGCTCCGATTTTGGTTTTATATGGTTTATTTTCGATGGCTTATACACAACTTTAAATTTGTCAGTTCTTAATTTTATTACCGACTGCAATTTCCATCGTTTATTATTAAAACACATTGGTTAATACTCTTTCAAATGGTAGTCAAAGATAAATGATGACGAATGACCATCGGTTAATATATGTTCCTGACTGACGGCTTACTGCGTTGGTAATAATAAGAACTGTAGGAAAAAAATATTATTGTTAATAAGCGAAGGAAATTCTATAGTTATGTTGTCACAAATAACCAAAACATAAACCATCATTTATTATAAAAACAAATTTGTTACTACTCTTCTAAGTGGCAGTCAAAGATAAATGATAACGAATGATCATCGGTTAATATACGTTCCTGACTGACGACTTACTGTGTTGGTAATAATAAAAACTATAGGAAAAAAATATTACTGTTAATAAGCGAATGAAATTCTATAGTTATGCTGTCACAAATAACCAAAACATAAGCCATCGCTAGTGCGTCGATAATTTACATTATTACCAATGATAAAACTGTTACTAATTTAAAAAATGTGTTGTTTAGCATCCCGCCAAATAGTCGGTTCATGGATAATCGACGCATTATGACCATTATTTAATATTTGCTTTTAACCGACGATATAAATGTTCAGTAATAATTAAAACTGTCAAGAAAAAATAAATATTTATTAGTGACGACATTTCCTATTGTTAAGACGTCACAAATAACCAAGATGATTCACAACTCCGTCGAAAAAAGGAACATTTTTTGCAACGCAAAGGTAGGTAGTCGGTTTTGACGTCAATTTTAGCTCTTTGTTCTGTAGTGTCCCAACTCCGACCTCTGAGGCCTACAGACATAATCACAACTCACCACTACGGCCTACATGAACAATTGCAATATACATGGCTCTCAGCTCGTACAACTCTCGACTGTACCCCTGTGGCCTATGGACTTCATCGCAGCTCACCACTATAGCCTATATGACAAACTACGACCAACATGGTCCATAACTTGTGAGCTACAAACTCTAGCCTCTGATGCCTATAGACCTCATTACAGCTCACCATTATGACCTACATGACCAACTACGAATTATAAGCTTACAACTCATGCTACTTCTGACTCCCGCCTTTGCGACCTATATCCATCATCACAACTCACCATTATGCTCTATATGATCAACTACAACTTACACAACCCACAACTCATATAGCTCCCAACTCTGGGCTCCGTGCCCTATCGGCGTTGTTGCAACTCACATATGCGACCAACTATGACTTACGAGAATCACATCTATTGCAGGTTCCTATTACGGTCTCTATGTCCAACCGATAATCTTGAAGCAACCATCTCCGACCAATATGAACAATAATTTTTACCATGAGTTTTAACTATGACCTATACAACAAACTAGTGCTACAACCACTATCTATAACATTCACAGTGGAGTACTACCTCCAGAGCAATCGACTACGATTCTTGCAGTCTGTTATCACCAAAAACTACATTCATTACAGACAAACTATGACTATTGTCAATAAACAACTATTTTTATATTTACAATGATCAACTTTGTCACTTCATCTTCCCTAATTCAGGAGATAAGTAAACAAGTGTACTCACAATTCATAGTGGGTTAGTCTGACTGGCAAATCCTAGTAGTTTTTTCACGTTTTTGGTTTTCCACATAAAAAGTTTGTTTTCCGTACGTGTTGGATTCTCATACAACACTAAAATGATAATTCATTACTCTACCACCGTGAATCTTCTTTCAATTATCAAGAATATTCGATGACATGCACTTAATTGGATCCTAAATTTGGATGCTATGTATCACCTAACAAAATGAACAAAAAAATTTAGATGAGTATACCTTATTTTTAAAGCGACATTATAAACTATTTCTCCTTATATCTTATTATTATTATTATTATTATTTTAGATATTTTTTATCACAAAAGGTAACCGAGAATATGAGATATGAAAACCTATCAATTTCTATGGTTGGAAAAACCAGCAAGTTGCGCCAATATTACATATTTAGGCAAGGAAATTAATACTTCCGGATACTCACATGCATGTTATGTAAATTATGTGTTAATGTTAATTCTTACTACATACTAAACATTAGCGTAAAGTATTGTTAAGCGGAATTTTCTAGCCATTATAATTCTCCCTTAACCTTTTTGATACGCCATCAACATAATTCTATCATCCAGCACGAATCTCAAAATATGACATAGATCTCGAGATGACTTTTTGGGTAAAAAATATTCAAACTTTGATAAAAATTCATCCAGAACTCCTATTTCAGCAAATCTACAGTCAAACTGACCTGCTCGACAAGAAGAACCCAATGTTACCTAAATTGGTTCAATCCAAACCAAACCAAACCATTAAACCAATTTTGTAAGTTTGTTGGACACATTTGGATGGTCAAACGAATGTCAATTCTAACGAGTCTATAGTCAAATTGAGCGCCTTGACAAGACGAATCCAACGAGCGCAAGATTTCTCAATTCTGACATCAAGTAAATGTTCATCATATGTTGTTCGTTCGAGGGAAGCCCATTGAGTTGTCTGATTAAAGTAATTTATATTCATACATTAATTGCACCCATAACACTATAAATAGAGCCTCACCCCTCTCATGTGGCGCCCGAGGGGGGGGGGGGGGGGGGGGGGGCTTGGGCCTTTAGAAAGAACATGAGGTTTTGTGGGCTTGAGCCTTGAGAAAGAACTTGACGTTTTGAGAAGAAACTGAAGTTCAACACCACTCTTGCTGCTGTCGACCACTGCTAAACGCCACCGACCTCTGCCAACCACCGCCGACAATTACTGACCACCTTCGAGCACTCCTATCACCGTCGACCATTGCCGACCATTGTCAATCACCGCCGACTGTCGTCGATCACTGCCAACCACTGTCGACCACCACCCATTAGACGCCGCCAATTGCTATTGGTCGTCGTCAATCTACGTTGTAACTTGTAAAACCAAGTAACCCTTTCTTGTCAGTGGGATAAGTGGTTGCAACTGTAATCATTTTTTTTATAGTGGAACTATTCAACTTGGTTAGTCCCTATGGTTTTTTCCTTTATGAGTTTTCCACATAAAAACTTATGGTGTCATTATTGGTTGTTTTCTCTTTTTTGAGTGTGTGTTGAATATTCGTATCACGCTAAGACAATAATGAGCTACTCTACTGTTGCAAATTTTCTAGCACGCCTCACTTTTAAACACACAATTACATTTATATATTTCTTTATTTAATTAAAATAAACACATTCAAGATTGCATTTCCATTATTTCGCCAACTTACATGGAAATAGAGTTCCTAATAAATTGTGTTACAATTTTTGCCATTATTCGTTTTTGCCCAACCTCTTAACATCAAAACGTTTACACTGCATCAGTAATTTTAAAAATAAACAACTAAAAAGTTAAAAAAATTAATACATTTCACAAAAAGGTTATTTTTCAACTGTTTCTTAGAGGGAAGAAACAAAAAAAAACTTTTATCTATCCTCAATTTAAGCTAAAGGACTCCTTGAAATTAGAAGTACTAAGGGTGCGTTTGGGGTGGCGGTGTGGTGCAGCT